TAGCACAAGTCACCATCAGTGCGGGATCTACCAAGGAGATGCTCTGTCCCCACTGCTGTTCTGCATAGGCCTGAACCCCCTCAGTGAGATCATTAACAAGACTGGCTACGGATACCGACTACGGAACGGAGCAGTTGTCAGCCACCTCCTGTACATGGATGACATCAAGCTGTATGCCAAGAGTGAACGAGACATCGATTCACTGATCCACACTACAGGCTATACAGCATGACATTGGAATGTCGTTCGGACTGGAGAAGTGTAGTCGGATGGTAACAAAGAGAGGGAAGGTAGTCAGAACTGAGGGGATTGAACTACCAGAAGGCAACATTGCAGACATAGAGGACAGTTACAAGTACTTGGGGATCCCACAGGCGAATGGGAACCATGAAGAGGCCGCTAGAAAAGCTGCAACCACCAAGTACCTGCAGAGGGTTAGGCAAGTCCTGAGGAGTCAGCTGAATGGTAAGAACAAGATCCGGGCCATCAACACGTACGCCCTGCCCGTGATCAGGTACCCTGCTGGGGTAATAGGCTGGCCAAAGGAGGAGATAGAAGCCACTGACATAAAGACAAGAAAGCTCCTTACCATGCATGGAGGGTTTCACCCCAAGTCCAGCACCCTGAGGCTGTACGCTAAGCGGAAGGAAGGGGGCCGGGGACTGGTGAGTGTCAGCACCACAGTCCAGGATGAGACAACGAACATCCAAGAATACATTGGGAAGATGGCCCCAACTGACCGAGTGCTCAGTGAATACCTCAGGCAGCAGAAACCCAAGAAAGAGGAGGGAGACGAGGAACCATCATGGAAGGACAGAGCCCTGCACGGTATGTACCACCGGCAGATAGAGGAGGTGGCTGATATCCAGAAATCCTACCAGTGGCTGGACAAAGCTGGACTGAAAGACAGCACAGAGGCACTAATCATGGCAGCACAAGAACAAGCTCTGAGCACAAGATCCATAGAGGCTGGGGTCTATCACACCAGGCAAGACCCCAGGTGCAGGCTGTGTAAAGATGCCCCAGAGACAATCCAGCACATAACAGCAGGGTGCAAGATGCTAGCAGGCAAGGCATACATGGAACGCCATAACCAAGTGGCCGGCATAGTGTACAGGAACATCTGTGCGGAGTATAACCTGGAAGTCCCGAGGTCAAAATGGGAGATGCCCCCAAGGGTGGTGGAGAATGACCGAGCTTAGATCCTGTGGGACTTCCAGATACAGACTGACAAAATGGTGGTGGCTAACCAACCGGACATAGTGGTGGTAGACAAACAGAAGAAGACGGCCGTAGTGATCGATGTAGCGGTTCCGAATGACAGCAATATCAGGAAGAAGGAACACGAGAAGCTGGAGAAATACCAAGGGCTCAGAGAAGAGCTCGAGAGGATGTGGAGGGTAAAGGTAACGGTGGTCCCCGTGGTAATCGGAGCACTAGGTGCGGTGACTCCCAAGCTAGGCGAGTGGCTCCAGCAGATCCCGGGAACAACATCGGAGATCTCTGTCCAGAAGAGCGCAGTCCTGGGAACAGCTAAGATACTGCGCAGGACCCTCAAGCTCCCAGAGGACCCGAGCTTGAAGGATAAACCGCCCGCAGGGGCGTGCTGGGTGTTTTTTTTTTAATATATATATATATATATATATATATATATATATATATTATATTTATATACATTGGGTGAATGTGCAGTAGTAGCAGCAAGCAGGTGAATTCTGTACATTAATATGAATAGACATCTGACTATTTTACAGGATAGACAATATAAACATATTTAAAATTAAAGGAATTGAAATGTACATTGTGCCTTGGTTTAGTGTCTGGAAGAGTCCTGTCTCAGTCAATTATAGATGATGTGAGAGGGCGGGTGTGTGTGTTTAGGGCACGGATGGCTTGGGGATAGAAGCTCCTCTTGAGTCTCTCTGTCCTTGCCCGGAAGATGCGGAACCTTCTACCAGATTGCAGAAGTTGGAACAGTTTGTTGCCAGGATGGGACGGGTCCTTCAGTCTTCTACCCAGTCACAGGTGAATCGCGTTACAGTATCCCCTGCTCTACAAGTATATATATAATGTAAACCAGGATTGGCATGAGGTGCATACTGAATCTACAAAACTGCAGAACATTTAACGTCAGCCTTGTGGAAGAGGGGTGAGGATCGGTGGAGGACGAGGACAAAACCGGGCAAGAAGAGGCCAACCACATAGACACGTTCCTGACGAAATCAGGGCAACACTTGTGGGTCATGTGATAAACCATGGCCTCACAATGGCCGAGGCTGGTCGAAGGGTGCAGCCAAATGTTGGGAGAACTACTGTAAGTTCTATTATTCAGACATTTCGTCGGGAAAACAGGTGAGCATACTGTAATGTAGTTATTCAGCACAAACTAATTTGCTCTGCACTTTCATAGTCATACAGGAGATTTGCATTAGGACATGACCTTATAGATCTTTACATATAGACGTAGTGTAACTGAAGCGCAGACTTGGCCCAGGTGTGGCATAGTGTGCTGTGGTACAATACAGTAATGCTGTAAAGAAAGGAGTTTTGAATGATAGTCCTGTAACCATTACTGTAAGCATGTTTGCGTTTATTTATGTTTGTGTTTTTTCATCTGCATCTCAAAAAGGACTGCCCGACAACCTAGGAGAGGTGGACGAGGTCCACTTTTGACTCCACAGCAAGAGGAAAGAATTTGTGCAGTGGTGGCTGCAAACAACGCTTTGAGACTGAGAGAAATACAAAGAGCTGTCGTAGAAGATGACACCATCTTTGGAAATATTCAGTCAATATCAATGCCCACCATAGACAGAGTCCTCAGACGGAATGAAATGTCCATGAAGCAATTGTGCAAAGTACCATTTGAACGGAACAGTGAAGGAGCTCCGTCACCAGTATGTACAGGTAAAACATGTTTGCATATGTACCTCTGTTTACTGTAAAAGTTTAGGCCATGTACTGCACTTACATTTATGCATGTTACTGTAATCCTATTCACAGTTCAAACTGTACAATCTGTTGTGCCAAATGCACCATTACAGACTTTTTTATTCTCATCCTTTGGATAGCGTATCCTGGAATTGGAGGCCAGGGAACCCCTGCACACGTTTGTATATCTTGACGAAGCGGGATTCAATCTCACAAAAGGCAGACGGCGTGGACGAAAGAGCCACCATTGATGTCCCAGGCCAACGAGGAGGAAATATTACAATGTGTGCAGCAATCTCAGAAAATGGCGTTCACACCCATATTCCTCACATTGGTGCATACAATACACAACACCTGTTGGCTTTTCTGGACGCTCTTTATCGGGCCCTAATCCCACAAAATGAAAGGGATGATCCTGGTGACAATCGGACAATGTATGCAGTGGTTTGGGATAATGTAAGCTTCCATCACTCTGCTGTAGTCAGGCAGTGGTTTGCAGCACACGACAGGATGCTTATGGAGTTTCTTCCTCCTTACAGTCCATTCCTGAATCCAATTGAGGAGTTTTTCTCTTCCTGGAGGTGGAGGGTATATGACAGGCATCCACGTACCCAAATGACCCTGCTAGCAGCTATGGATGCAGCTTGTGATGACATCACAGCAGCGTCCTGCAGAAGGTGGATTCGACACTCCAGAAGATGCTTTCCCCGATGCATCGATAGAGCTGACATTCGCTGTGATGTTGATGCAAATATGTGGGCAGACAGACGGGAGCGTCTAGATATCAATGATTGATATGCAGCAGTGTCTGGTTTTCAGTTTTTTGTTTCATGACTACTGCAGTAAGGTTTACTGTCTAAGTGAGTTTGTTTGCTGTAAAATGTTTGATTTGCTGTATTTCCCCAGTTGCACAAAGCTGTGAACAGTTTCAATTAAATATTATCAAGAGTGCAGAGGAAGTGTCTTGATTTTCCTTTACAATTTCTGGTTTTCAACATGCCGTGCATGCTGTCCAGACTTGACATGTCATTGGGAAGCACCTACAAAGAACTCCGTCACAATGAGAACATGTTCAAACCATTTGATTTTGTGACCAAAGGTGCTGGTGTGATGACTTGTAATTGTGACAGCCCTGACACTTTGATATAAGTACTTGCTTTTGATGAATATATCATCTGTTTTGATTAAGGGACTTGCTTTTGAAGCATTGACTACTTATTTTGAGCAACTGACTTTTCTTTTTGATGAAGTACCAAAGCAACTGAGAAAAACTGTACTGGAGAGTGAACATATAACAAAGGTGAGGGTGGCGGAAACAGAACTGGGAAAACTAAGCAAACGCAAACCTTGATGCAGGGAGACAGAGGATGATGCAGGGAAAGAACACACGGGGCTTAAATACTCACAGGAGTAATCGTGGGATGGGATACAGGAGGGGAACACAATGCTCCTTTCAAAACACTGCAAATTGTCACGTTTATGAATAAGTAGATTGGGTGAAATTTGGCTGACGAGACACAGACGTAAGGCTGACAACACTCACATGAGACAGAGACCTTCAGAATAAAACAGGAAACTCACAGACACAGAACCCGACAAGACACTGAACTTAACAGATTCACGAGCAGACGGTGAGTGACACCACACAGACAGAGGGAACACAGAGAAGTGTGAGCACAGAACAGAAGCCAAACAAATGGCAAACCTCAACAAAAGACATAACAGAATAAACAAGAACATCGAATAATATAAAGAAATACAAAATGCTGAGTCGTCACACTCAGGGCCGTGACAGTATTCCTGAATGATATATATTTAATAAATCTGCAAACTAACAACTGCACAATACTTGTTACAATTAAATTATTTGTAACAAAAATGAAGAAAATGTCATTTTCACCCAACTTTTACGCTGAACAAATACAAAAACCAAATGATCAGTAGATATAGAACAAATACTGGCGTCTCCAGACGGTACTCTCATCGCAACTGAGACAATGATTTAGTGAAATGTGTGTATGTTTCGTGTGTGTGTGTGTGTGTGTGTGTGTGTGTGTGTGTGATAGGCGCACCAATAGGGATGATGAGAAAGCGGATGTAGCTCAACCAATCAGACGTCTTGCTGGCCAGCTGCTCGACGAAGCAGCAGAGCACTGTGGTCAGGTAGCTCTGATCTCCTCCTACTGCCACCTTCATGGTAGGCGGAGTCTGCGAGTTGCAGTTACAGCTGCAGAAACGGATTCAGGTCAGAGAGAATATATATTCATACATATATGTATGCAAACTTGTTTATAATCAAATGAATTTTTTGACGTAAGTATGCAGGACAGGATTCAGAGCTCAGCCAGATTCAAACACTGATGTCTGTGCAGAATAAAAGTACGGATGTTCTTACAATCTCTGGATGCGTCCGATGATGGCGCTGAAAGCGGCCTGAACATCAGCCGTTGAAACAGTGCAGACGATTGGCTGATCGAAGAGAACCTCAGAGAGATACTAAGGAGGGACAGCGCAGACACAAAGACACGTTGGGCTCTGAACGATCATAGAAACTGAACTCAGCTTGATTCAAACCCCTGAAAGACAGAAAAAGGATGCGTACCTGTCCCTGCCAGTCTGTGGTGTTGATCAGGATAATGGAGTCAGGTATCTGATCATCAGAGAACAGGATGTGGTTCAGCTGATCCAAAACCGACTTTCTAGCTACCTAAAAACAAGCACCAGTCTTTAGTATCAGATATGAAGTACTGCAGTTCCTCTAGTGCCCACTTGAGGCCCCAAACGTGAATCGGTACAGCGACTGTGTCTATCTTTCACTTGGAGATAAGTTATCTGAATTTCAGTAGGGGGGCCAGACCTCAAACACCCCCCTCCTGGTTCGCTGTCTATCTGTGACCGCCCCTGCACTTTAAACTGTGTTTTCTCGTTTTGGTGCCCGACCAACATCCTTTTTTCAATTCATTCACTTCTCATTAGTAAATGCACATCTGCCCAGCCCGGAAGCTAACACCAGTCTCCTCTGAGGGCCCCAAAACGGAGCCTCAATTCATCCTCACGCCATCCGCCATTATCACGAGAAACGGCGTGACAACAGGATGTGGTCCCAGCTAAAGAAATACAGGTAAGACAGACAGTTCACTCTGACCCTGAACCTGAATCTGACCCTCTGCAGGCCATCAAACAACACGGCATCCTTTCATTCCTAACATGTTACTCGTCGACATCAGAGATATCCAGCACGATCTTTCCCATTGAGACCTGACGTGTTTCAAAGTGTTACATTTCTGAGAGCAGTGTACACATCTGCAATTTTCTGTATGGATGAAAAGGAGGCGGATGGCACAGTGACGTCGCACACACACACAGATAATGAGGTGACGGCATGCAGCATCAGTGATTTTAACACCAAAACAGGAGCAACACTGACACCTGGTGGTGGAACATGTTCCTGCTGACACTAAGGCCCCTTTTCCATTAGTGCCTGCGTGGATCGACTGGGCACCACTCGACTGGAATTGACTGGTTTTCCACTACAATCCAGTACTCAGGTACTCAGCTCAAGGGTTGTCAGGTCCTGTGTGGGGTGATGGAGCACCTCTTCAACCTGAACCTGAGGCTGGGGAGAGTCCCACAGCTCCCACATGGATCCTGGACTACCTCCCCGACCGACCACAGTATGTGAGGACTCAGGCCTGTGTGTCGGGCAGGGTCGTCTGCAGTACAGGGCCCCACGGGGAACGGTTCTGGCTCCGTTCCTCTTCACCATCTACACTGCGGACGTCTCCCATAACTCCACCCACTGCTTCCTGCAGAAGTTCTCTGACGACTGCAGGCGGCCCATCACTGATGGGGACGACAAGGATACAGAGGACTGACCCAGGACTTTGTGGACTGGTGCCAGCCGAACTACCTCCAGATCAACACCAGTAAAACCAAGGAGCTGGTGGTAGGCTTCCACAGGCACAAACATCCCCCACTGCAACCACTGAACATCCAAGTTATGGACATCGGAGGTCTTTCCTTCCGTCAGCTGTCAGACTCTACAACAAAGACTTTACAGATGACCACACACGTGCAGACAGACACACACATCCCATACACAATGGTAACTTTCGCCCTGTATCCCTGATGTGCAATATTACCAAGTGCAATTGGTAGCATGCAGGCTGATGACATCACATTTTAGTCTCTGCTCGGATCACCTTTCCCGGCTGAGAAGGTGCTAAAAATCGATCCGACTAGCTACTAATAAAAAGAGGCTTAAACCCCTGGAACTGACGCTTTCTCACCTGTGGAGCAGGTATCCTGCAATCAGACGATGTCCCACTGTCGATGCTGCTCGTTCGGTCCATGCCTCTCGAGTTCTGTCTGTCCTTCATAGCGATGATCCACGTGTGGCGAGACGACTGACTTCCCGTGTTACTGCAGGAGGAGCACACAGGTGTATGAGGCGTTTTTACACAGCTGTTCATACCTGTAGGAGCTCAAACATTACCTGTGTGTGTGTGTATACCTTGGTGACATGTGTGTCTGAGACTCTGTTTTACATAGTTTGGCAGCTGGGCCTGTGTCTGTTCCCATGGCAACATCATCTTCCGGTTTCTGTGGAAAACAAGAAGAAGAACTTTATCTGTCCATGAAGCCAGATAACACACACCAATGAGTTAAACTGCAGGAATGTCTTAAAGACATAAAGACCTGGATGGCCGCTAACTTTCTGCTTCTTAATTCAGATCAAACTGAGGTTATTGTACTCGGCCCTGAAAAGCTTAGAAATATGGTATCTAAGCAGATTCTTACCCTGGATGGCATTACCTTGGCCTCCAGTAACGCTGTGAGGAACCTTGGAGTCATTTTTGACCAGGACATGTCCTTCAACGCACATATTAAACAAATATGTAGGACACATGTTGTCACTGTCAGAGCTTCATTACTTGAGTTAACGGCTTGATGGCTCGTAAACTCTTACGTGAGCTCGTCTTGGAGTAGAAGATGGAGAGGGGGTGCTCGGCTGATTAATTTACTTTGGGTAAGGTAGCGATAACGACTGTGTTGATTTCTGAAACAAAGAGAGGTGATGGTGAGCAGTCTTGGAAGGGCTGGTTGAACTGAAAGCCTTCGCTTGGAGAGTTGTTTTGAATTCTGTGTCAAGGGGGGAGGGTTTAAATGATGCTAGTGATTCAAGACTCAAGATTCTTTATTCGTCACATGCATAGTTATACAAGTACATGTGGTGAGTAAAGAAGGTTGAATCTTGAATCACTAGCATCATGTGAAAGCACATGAGAAGTGAAGGGATGCCTTGAGGAATTTTGTGCACGACGGAGTTCAGATAAAAGGAGATGGATCGACGTAGCAGACCGGATTATTGGCTGGCAAGAAAAATGCTAGAAGGTTTTCCAGAGCAGCATTTGGTCTCTTTGAAGCGCCGCCATGACATTCAGAGTGTTTGCGTTTCTTGGATTGCTGGGAGGGAAACCGATGAAGCAGAGCTGTGTAGTCCTTCATCTGAGGTGCTGACGGACGCGATTGTAAGCAAATGGAAGGGTGAGTAAGATTATGTTACTCGTGTAAGATAAGCTGTGTTAAAGACTTTCTCGAAAGGTGTTTCCACGAAAACAAGAACGGACAAGTTGTAGAGCTGGGGATGTGTATATAGACAAGAACTGGAAGGGGCGTGTTTGGAGGCGTGGCCCCGCTCCTGAAATTCAGATCATTTATTTCCAATTATTATTAATCTCAGTCTCTCTTCCACAGCATGTCTTTATCCTGTCTTCCTTCTCTCATCCCAACCAATCACAGCAGATGGCCCCGCCCCTCCCTGAGCCTGGTTCTGCTGGAGGTTTCTTCCTGTTAAAAGGGAGTTTTTCCTCCCCAATGTCACCAAAGTGCTTGCTTACGGAGACCCGCGAGGGACATGGGAGGAAGAAAAATGAAGATGAACTTTGAGCTGGTGGGTAAGACGTCTCTGAAAACGTCGGAGCACTTTTGCAAATATAGACAGATATTTGAAGTTTACACAGCCCGAAAATATCTTACAAGTTTATTTTGTGACCATTTGTGAGTGATAAGAGTAATATTAAAACTAAGTAGCTGCTGCCATTGTTGGAAAGGATAGGTTGGGCCACGAAGGATGCATTTGGAGCAGCCTTCGAATTGGGACTGCCTTCGTCGCCTGGCTCGTCACCTATCCCAGAATTCATAGCCCAGTCAATTCCAGTTCCCAACAATGGCAGCAGCTACTTAGTTTAAATATTACTATTATCACTCACAAATGGTCACAAAATAAATGTGTAGCATATTTTCAGGCGAGAATGCAGCTGTGTAAACTTCAAATATCTGCTCGCTTTATCAAGACACCACATATTTGCAAAAGTGCTCCGACGTTTTCGGAGACGTCTGTTACCCACCAGTTTGATGTTTTGCGAGATCTCGCAAAAGTTTTGCAAAAGTTTACCTTCATTTTTTTCCTGCCATGTCCCTTGCAGGGCTCCGTACTTGCTCATAGGGGGTCATATGATTGATGGGTTTTTCTCTGCATGGATTATCGTAGGCTCTACCTTACAATATAAAGAACAAGTGTGTGTGTCTTTGTGTGTGTGTGTTTCAGATTCACCCTCGGCCCGGTCTCCTCTCCTTTCACCTCCTCAGAGTCTCCTCGTAGATCTGCCGCCTGTGTAACAACAGCAGGATGCAGTTACACAGCTTGATCTGCAGGGGGCGACACAGCTTCTAAAGCTGCATCCATCATACACCGATGTCTCCTGACAGGAGCTTCAGGTTCTGGATGTTCACATGATGATGCTGTGTTTCACTCACGGCTGCAGTCCGTTCTCTCTGCTGACTCCCGATCTCAGTCTGAGAGCTCGACTGAGAGACGCCGTCGAAGAACGGCCTGCGGGTGGAAAACAGCCAGCATAGTCACCACCTCACACCTCAGATAGACTCAGAATTGCGATGGGACACTAAAAACACACAAATATGTTTGACTAACATTTTGACTGGAGGTCAAACTTCCTGTCCAGCTTGACGAGCTGTGAACGCAGACAGGTGTGTTTCAGGCTCACCTGAGCTTGGGTTTGGGAGTGCTCTGGATGCTGTCGTTGTCGTCCAGCTCAGGGCCGCTGTCGCTCGGGTTGTAAACTTCCAGGCTGTCGTACAGGAGGTCCAGGTTCTCCTCGGCCTCCTGACTCTGACCCACGGGGTCCGAGTCCAGAACCTGCAGGAAACGAGCCAATTGGGGTCACGAAACAGAGGTCCTACTTTTTACAACTCATGTCCTACAAACCAGGTTATGGTTTTATTTTCACTGATGTCAGCAGCAAAGCTGTGTTTGATTCAGTTACTCAGTCGACAATAAAAAGTCTTTTTCAACTCTGATCCTGGGTTCTTCACTCAGTATTGTTACTGAAGGATTTTCTGACAAAATATCGAGCTGGAAACGTCAAGAAGAACCAGTACAAGGACGCTGACAGCAGTTCTGATGAAGTCCCAGAGGTCCAAGGAAGCAGAGAGCTGATCCTGAGGACACCAAACCAGAAACCCTGCACAACTTAACTGTTCCTACAAAGTTCTAACCAGAACGGGCGACTGTCACCGGGACACCAGTTTAAAATAAACAGCTCTACCTGAAGTTCCTCCAGATGGAGTTTGAAGGTAATGAAGGTGAGTACCAACCTCATCACTGACTTTGAATCTCTTTAGCAGAGCCACAAACTTCTGCTTAAAGTTCGGCTGCTGAATGACAGAAAACAGAAGAAAAGTGAAAAAGACAGCTTCGGCCCCTCAACCATCAGCTGCTCTGATTGGTCCTTACCTGAGTCAGCGAGGATGTTCGCATCATTTTCCTGTGAGACGTCTTAATCTTTCCCCGGACATCCTCGTCATCATCAAACATGTCCTGAGGGGAAAAAAGAGGCTCATCGAGCATTTGTTTCAGTGAAATCCTCCACAAATGCTCAAAGTGAAAGTCGTGGTTTCATAGCCTGCGCACAAAATACAATAATCAGAAAAAGAGAGCAGCGTGGACCCACTGTTGCTCCTCTCGTACACCTGTTGTTGATTTCATGAACACCAAAGCCTCTGTTACTGAACCACATCCATATCCCCGAAGTTTAACTGACTTCATGCTGTACCCAGAGCTGCTTTATAAGATATAAAGGTGAGGTCACCTGAGGCAAGACTGCGTCGTCACTTCCTTCCTGTTCAGAGGAGAAGCTGTCGTCATCGTCCTCCCAGTAGTTCTCCACATCAGGAGAGCGGTCTGTTTGCACACACACACACACACACACACACACACACACACACACACACACACACACACACACACACACACACACACACACACACACACACACACACACACACACACAGACACACACACACACACACACACACAGACACACACACAGACACACACACACGCACACGCACACGCACACACACACGCACACGCACACACACACACACACAGACACACACACACACACACACAGCTCATTTTGTGGCAGTAGCGACACCTGCAGCCATTTTCTGTGAACAGGTGACCTGATGTGTGTTTCATTTACAGAGTGATGTCACAGCTCTCAGCAGTGACATCATCACAGACTGCTGTGAGTGTGTGTGTACATTTGAAAACTGGGATGTTACAATACTGATGGGGACAAAGTGCCCGTCCCCACGAGCCACAGTTAGGCGATGGTGAGGGTGAGGGGCTCGGGAAAACATTGTGTCAGCTAGGTGTCCTCACTAAGATATGAAAACAAAAATGTGTGTGTTGTGCCTTTACATGTACTCTATTACTCTATGTCTGACCAATCAGTAGCCAGTTTATAACAAGTACCTGATGCAGGGATGGTCAGACTCTCTGTCCTCCTACCTGAGGCCTTGCCCTTGTTGCCATGGTGACCAGTTGTGTCCTCTATTTCTATTGGATGGCTGCAGAGAGTATGAACGCTCAGTTCCGCCGCACGCACAGAAGCATCCTTCAGGTTGCTATGGAGACCGAGTATGTGGGCACCATCTGTTGGACGCTGCATCACCTGGGACACACACACATTTTTAAACTTTTCCGTCCCATCTCACAGATCTGACGACGGCTGCTGGAGAAACAAAATCTTGTGGTGTAATTTTGCTGACGGGGAGATCTTTGAGCTAAACGTGCTACACGCTGTGGCGAGAGTTCCCGATGCAGCAGAGCTTCCTGTCGTACCTCGGCCATGTTGACAACACCCACTGCGAGGGTTTTGTAGCCCAGGATGGTTCGGTTCTTGTACCTCTTCCTCCTCTGCAACATCACATGCAGACGGTTCACATCTCGCTTCAGGAAGTGAAGATACTGCATACACACACAATTTTACATCAGAGACAGGGGGCAGTGTGCGATCTGTGTGGTTCTTCATGCTGAGAAGGGAATTTTTGTTAAATGTGCAACCTGCAGGGAGAAGGTGAGCTCCAGGTCTGTTTCCATGAGGCCGTCGGGAGGAGGAAGGTACTCGTTGGATCTCAACGTCCGCTTAGAGCCCTGAGACACAGATCCAGGGTCAGATCGACAGCACAGGTGAGTGTCAGGCCGGCGACTGCCAGAATCTCACCTGGATTTTTACAGCGATGATGACGGAGCTGAGCTCTCTGTCCAGCTCCCTCAGAACCTTCAGCTTCTTCACGGTCAGAATGCAGAGCCTGCAGAGCACAGCAAACAGGAAGCAGCTTCACTGTCAACACAAACAGCAGCAGGTGTGAACAGACTGACAGCCTACAGACGAGATCACAGCACAAGTCTGATCAGCACCTGCAGCTAAACTTACTCCAGCTTCAAAGTCGGTGGAAACTCAGCAACTAAAGTTTCAGCAGATTATTACGGGCAAGCAGTTTGAAGACAATCACAAGCAATTCCTCTTGCCAACCGTCTGCATGTTGGTCTTCACTACATCCATGAACCTCCTCTGAGGTCTTCCTCTTCTCATCCTGCCTGGCAGCTCTGTCTTCATTATCCTTTGTCCAACATCCACCCTCCCTCCTCTCTCAGCCTCAGCTCCATCTGATTGGCTCACGTCCGTCCTGCTCGGCCTCCTGTCTGTCACACCAGCGCCTCTCTCTGTCCACGTGGAGATGAAAGCTAGTCTGTTTTTTTTCTTCTAAATTAGCTGCTAAAGCTTTAGATGGTTTCCAACACAAGTTTTTTTATTTCGCCTCTGTCAGTGCGCCCCAGGGTGGCTGTGGCTACAATGTAGCTGCCATCACCAGTGTGTGAATGTGTGTGTGGATGGGTGAATGACTGAATGTGTGAAGCGCTTTGGGGTCCTTAGGGACTAGTAAAGCGCTGTACAAACACGGGCCATTTACCATACTTAATCTGTTGCTCCCCAAAAGGCCCCTCCCTTCTTATTGCCGTTGTCCAGAAGCCATCAGAGGGGCAGCAGCCAAAGTGTGTTTGCTAAGAAAACAAACTGAAAACAGAATCAGTTCTTGGCTGAAAGCCTCTCAAATGCATCCAAGGATGCATCGGAGAGCAACATGGGGCTGCCCAAGGAAATTTGGCAGGGGATCGAACCACCAACCTGCTCAACCACCTGAGCTACAGACACCCCAGAAAATATCAGTAATTATCAGTAAATATCACACTCTGGGGCTGATTATCGAGGTTTTTATGCTGGAATGAAATAAATTTGTGACTCTGCTGACTAAAAAAAATCATGAAGGACAAAAAAGCATCTTAAACTGAGCATCCAGAGCCGTGTGATTCACCTCACCTTCATTTATCTCCTTCTTTTACACTCTGGCCATGTTTGACCCGGAGATCCATCACTTCAAATATTCCAGTCGTGTATTCCTGACGCATCGTGGAGGCGGGGCCTGTTTAACCTCCTCAGCTTCCCTTCAGCAGTGAGGTGGACGTGTTTAATAGAGCTGAGTCCTGAGGGAGCTGAGTGAGAGGCTGACCTCCTGAGACCTCATTACTGCGAGGTCATGCTGGGACTCGTCCTGTAGGCTGCAGCTTCCTGTCAACGCTGGCCAGCAGGAGCTAATCCTGCTAATCCTGCTAACAGTGCCACCTGAGCTCTGATCCGCCCTCCCGAGGACAGAAGGCTGGCTCTGCTGCTGAGGACGAAGATTCACACATTTCCTTCTCATTCGTGCAAAGACAGTGATGTGTAACACCAAATCTGATACACGGCCACTGTTTGCCACGTAGGCGGTGAAAAATAGATCCAAACTTTGTGTGAAGGATAGCTTCTGTTTTTAATGTGCCTGTGTGGGTGGATGACTTGTTTGTTTCGTGTGTTTTACCCTCACTTTCCACTTATTTGGTGCGTTAAGCTTTAGCCTACGACTGTTGTACATAAAACTGACAGTGACGCTCTCAGCTCCTGAAAAACGTCAGCCTCGACAGAGGGCACGCGCCAGCACAGGCCCCAGTCTGTAACAGGTTACTTGTCCTTCTACGTTCACATGCCGACCTGATGGTGGCGCTGTTATCTTTGATCAGATGCTTAAACTCAGGCACAGCGATGAGGGTCACTGTAACAGAGCAGCGTGATGATGAGGAGAGTTCATCATTTAAAAGCTGCTCTGCATGAAGACAAACACATCGATCGCTCTCATCTCGAGATTCAAGATCCTTTATTGGTCACATGCATAGTTATGCGAGTTCAACACGCAGGAAATGAGTTTTAAACCAAACAGCTCTGTGTGGGAAAACCTCTGAATTAACCCACAAATTTCTCACTTGGCTCCACATCGTCAGTTTTCCAGGACAAAGCTCCAGTTCATGAATCTGGAGATCTGGAGAAAATTTTGATGGAGGCTCCGCAAGTCTTTACTCCAGACTGACCTCAGAACAGCGGAGCAGTGAGGCCAGGCTGCAGTGACTGTGATCACTGACTGATCTGGGTTCAGTCGGTGTTGGAGTGTTGATCACTCTGATGAGACCGCAGAGTTTAATATCTGCCGAGATAATGAAGAAGATTTCCTTTAAAATCATTATTTCAGGTATTATTTGCACCTGTTTGGAGGTGATGCATGACTTGCTTTAATCTTCGCTGCTTCCTGAGTCAACAGGACATTTAAGAGGATTAACACTGACTGCTTGGCTTCCTTAACCCCTGCACGAACATGTTGCTAATCTGCCCGGAAACAGGCAGGTGGCGATCAGAGAGAACGAACGCTAATCGGCTGTCATCAGGAATTTTTGTCCACTTCTAATTGGCTGCTGAAAGCTGATGTAATCACTGAGGTCATGACCTTGCAGGTGTCTCTGGTCTTAACACCGCTGATAAGCCAGAACCAGGTGAAATCCCTGAGCATTGCGGGACAGTGAGGAGGAGCAGCTTCACTTTGAACCACCGACAGTTTACATCAGATCAACTCGACAGGAGATTGATCTGATTCATGATCTGAGCGTCCTTTATGAGAGTGTAAAGGACGCTCCGGTGTCTCCTCTGCCAAAGGAAGTAATAAAGGAAGCACTGAAGCTGATCTGACTTCAAGTTGACGTCAGGAAGTCTGAAACCATTCTGTCATCCTGTGGATGAACTGCTGAATGACAGCAGGCACAGCCCTGCTCTCCCTTCTGTTGCACCTGATCAGTTTAAAAGGAGAGTTTCACGTTACTGTGCAAACACGGTGTTTTACAACCATCACCGACAAAACAACTGGACGGGCTTCACCTGCACGCATCAGCAGGTTGAAGGGCATCAGTCTTAATAATAAGGTATACAGCACAATGCCAGGGTGTGTGCGATCATAAAACACCCACAGACCTCTGAGAAACTCACACTGCCAATTCAGGTTTAACAAACTGCAGACAGAACAGCTCTCAGCAGCAGCAGGATCCCTGTGAGCGTCCACAGTCACACGCTGTACAAACACCTCTGACTGGACTGAAACTAAAAATGAACACAAACTAAAACAACAGGAACCAAGTCTGGACTTCTGCATGAGCAGGTTCATGGAAATGATAAAGATCATCATTCATCAGTAATTACAGGCACAGAGGCTCGAGTTCCCCAGACTCACCTGAACGCACCTGCTGCATCTTTACTGATCACACATGAAAACATTTACACACACACAGAACAAACAGGTGCTGTGTAGAAGCCCGTCGTCCTCTCCTATCTGCCCGGGCATCGATCCTCTTACCTGGGCACGCAGCTCGGGGAGGACCGGTCGATCTCCCAGGTAGCGAAAAGGTTCATGGGCACCGGGCCGCGACCGTCTGGCTCCCCGGCAGCCTCGGTCCCCGCTGACGTGTCGGTGGACCACCGGAGTCCTCCTCGGTCCACAGCCGCCGCCATCGTTTCCTCTCCCGGTCGGCAGTCTCTGCGATGCCGTGAGCTGATCCTCCAGCCCGGCTACCAGTAAGGGCGGGGCTGAGAGCCGGGGGAGGGGGGGCTGATCCAAGAGCAGACACAGCAGAGCTGCTCAGCACATCCTGGTGAGGAGACACCTCCGTCTCTTCTTCTGGGTTTCCAGCAGAGCGAGCCCTCCACTCCTCAGCTCCACCTTCAGCATTCATGCTCAGAGAATCCAGGCATGAAATAAAAATGTCCCACTTCAGCTGATCCAAAATGCTGCAGCAAGAGTCCTGACAGGGACTAGAAAGAGAGCAGATTTCTCCTGTTTTGGCTTCCTGTTAAATCCAGGATTCAAAATCCTGCTCCTCACATACAAGGTCTTAAATAATCAGGCCCCATCTTATCTTAATGACCTTGTAGTACCATATCACCCTATTAGAGCACTTCGCTCTCGCTCTGCAGGCCTACTTGTTGTTCCTAGAGTATTTAAAAGTAGAATGGGAGGCAGAGCCTTCAGTTTTCAGGCCCCTCTTCTGTGGAACCAGCTTCCAGTTTGGATTCAGGAGACAGACACTATCTCTACTTTCAAGATTAGGCTTCAAACTTTCCTCTTTGCATATAGTTAGGGCTGGACCAGGTGACCCTGAATCCTCCCGTAGTTATGCTGCAATAGACATAGGCTGCCGGGGATTCCCATGATGCACTGGGTGTTTCTTCTTCACTCACTATGTGTTAACAGACCTCTCTGCATTGAATCATATCTGTTATTACTACAGCCTGTACATACTTATAGTTATAGAATATTCACAACATACTTCATACCGTGTACATTATAACATACCATAATAGACCCATTTCTGTAATATACTCACATATCTATATTATTGCTAATATATATTGTAATATATCTATATCACTAAAGCACTTCTGGATGGATGCAAACTGCATTTCGTTGCCCTGTACCTGTGCATGTGCAATGACAATAAAGTTGAATTCTATTCTATTCTATTCTATTCTATTATTAACCTCTGTCTCTCTTCCACAGCATGTCTTTATCCTGTCTTCCTTCTCTCACCCCAACCAATCACAGCAGATGGCCCCGCCCCTCCCTGAGCCTGGTTCTGCTGGAGTTTTCTTCCTGTTAAAAGGGAGTTTTTCCTTCCCACTGTCGCCAAAGTGCTGCTCATAGGGGGTCATATGACTGTTGGGTTTTTCTCTGTATGTGTTATTGTAGGGTCTCCCTTACAATATAAAGCGCCTTGAGGCGACTGTTGTGATTTGGCGCTGTGTAAATAAAGTTGAATTGAATTGAAATGTTAGCTAACTAGTGACAGAATCGATACCTCAGAGGAAAATGAGGACACTAAAACTAAACATCAGTGTAAGCGAACAGGTCAGTGCTGCAACAATGATCTTATGTTAAACCGAGGATACACTGTGGCTGTTCGGTGTTTGGCTTGCTGCACTGAAGCGGGAAATTCCAGCTGTTAGTCGTCATATTTGGGTTTGTGAAGCACTTTATAAATGAGGACTGTGGAGGAGAGCCTGAGTCAGGTGACAGGTGGTTACCAGACCAACAGAAGCTGATTTTTCCTCCTCTGGCTGAGAGCAGTCAGCTGACACGATCAGCACTAATTCATGCAATAAAGCACATGCAGACAGTTTACTTCATACTCATCACACCACAAACAACTACGTTTCTTCCTGAACCACGATCTGCAGGGAAAGTAGGTGAAAAAGAACATCACGTCACATCATCTCACTGACTGGATTCCTTCATATTAGAAGTGAGGACTGATGGTGAAGGAGACAGTAAAGCTGAGGACCTGCTGATGGACGTCAGGATTTCGACTTCAGTCTTGTTATGTCAACCTCTGATGCTGTAAACTGTTTGGATGTGTTTAGGAAATATAATATTTTATAGTTACATCTGTGTGAGTGTTTGACGGCAGGGTTTAGGGGGGTAAATTAGAGTTTCATGTCCCCTTTAAAAATGAACTCAGCGGTCTCAGTGTAGCCTCTTTGTGATAATTACTGCGATTTAAACAGAGCAGAGAAACAGCACAAACATGCTCATGCGTGTCTGTAGGAGAGCTTTACGGAGCTGAACAGCTGCCCTGGAAAAGAAAGAAAAAACAAGCAGTTTACTGCCAGTGTTTTTCTGCCTGAAATGGCATCACCATCACATTTTAATTCTCTTTTCTTCTTTTTTAATTTGTCCTTCACCTGACGATGAATTTATTTTAATGTGTGAGGTCTGGCTCCATCTTGTGGCCACACTGGCGTACTGCAGGGATGATTCTGTTTACATGTTCGTGCACTGGCTTTGAAATAAGAGGGAAAAAACTTAAAATCAGACCTGAAGGCAGATAAAACGAAGAGTCTGCAAACAGGAAACTAAACTTTCACATTTTAGACTGACCACAAAGCTGCTTTGCTTTGAAAGCATACTGGCTTCAAATTGTATTTTAGTCATTTTATTAGTTTTCTTTTCCAAATATGAACCATCAACAAAAGCAGCACAGTCACCTCAGCCCTGCGTTACATGATGATGGACTTCTACAGGTAGGACGGAGCCTTGTCAGCCGTTTGCTGGTCGTGTCGCTGAGTTGACGTCTGTTGCTCTGTCATAATTTATGAATATCCTGAGAAACAACTTCTTCACCAAACGTCCGTACTCTGAAAAGTGTCCAGAAACTGAGATTACACCTGTTCAGGTAACGACGCCACCTCCCTTGCTCCTTTCCTCACACGGCCCGTATCTTTATAAGTGTAATGTGTGGAAGCACACCAGGTAAAAGCTCCAGCATCGTCTCCTCAGCCAGTGAAGAATCATCATTTTCATCCACGATATCTTCTCTTCATGCTGAGGAGCTGCTGTGCGGCTTCAACACTGACACTGAGGAAGGGTTCGCTTGGATTTGTGTTACTGTTTATGGACCTAACAGGCTGAGCTAGTGTTTCAATTCTCTCAGATTACATCAGAGCCCTCTGAGCCCAAATCGGCTCTACTTCATATCTGCTCACAGACATGAGAGCAGCATCAATCTGAACCTGCCAACAAGAAGCTTTCAGGGCATTTTCCAAGTGACTGGTTCTCAGAGACGTGTGACAGGTTTAATTTCAGCACTCTAAAAATGAATTTTACATCCCCACCATATATCTGTGTGAACAAGATGATTTCTACTCATGTTTTAAGTGAAATTCTTTTTATATCAGAGCAAGAGCAGGACAACAACAACAAAAACGACCTTTCCTTAGAAACGGTCACGTTTGAGTTCATGAACAAGAATCTGAAGAAATGTCCAACCTGTTGATCAGTATTACAGCAACGCAGTGAGAGCATGTTGGATTCTGGGACTGCAGACGCTGAGTCAACCTGCGCTCCTCAGATCGGGAAGTTTCTCCACGGCACCGCAGATGCTCGTTTATCCCAAACCAGTCGTGTCCCGTCGCTTCAGTTGGGTTTCTCCTTCTTTTATCTCATCGCCATTCAAGCTCACCTCTTGTTGACTGGCATCATCACCGCCCTCCTCGCCTTCTTCCTCCTCTTCCTCCTCTTCTGGGATGCTGGTGAAGTCCTCAATCACGACTCTGGGCAGCCCCACGTGCTGACCGCCGTACACCTGAACCTCCTCCTGAGAGTTCTTCTGGATCTCGGCGCCCCGATCCGCCGGAGGAGCAGCCGGCTGGTGTTTCCTGTACTGCAGCAGGCTGCAGCTCTTCATTAAGATGGCGATCACATTCTTTCCCATCATGATCCCCGACACTCGGATGTCCCCGTAGACCAGCAGGTTTCCCGTGCGGATCAGGAGGGTGATGATGTTGATGGTGGCGAGGCTGAGGATGGGATAGAGCATCATTTTGTGGGGGACGATGTTCACCCCCTGCATGCTGATCTCGCTCAGGGAGACACACGGCAGCACCAGCAGGAGGATGTAGCAGTAGAAGAACATCAAACCCTCCACCCACAGAGGGAGTCCTTCACTTTGAAGCTCCCACAGGTTCGCTTGAACATCCACGACATCCAGCAGGTCCAGCACCACCCAGAACAGGCGGCTCCGTATCTCCTCTCTTTTTTTGTATGGTCGCAAGTACTCCAGGTGATCTATCGCAGCCAGTGTTATGAACACAATGGGAATGCAGATGGACAGCAGCAGCGTAAGACCTCTCCGGGACACACCTACATCCACCACCTCCACACCTGCGGCCGTGTCCTGGGACTTGTAGTTCTGATAAACAAAGTAGACCTTGATCTCCAAGACAAAGATGTAGAAGAACCAGAGCATCATGGCATAGCCTCGCCTCGCGGTGTGCACCTCTGACCCAGCCCAGACGGCCACGTATCGAAGGACGACGAGGAAACACGCGTCGCTTGCCAACACGGTGACGCACACAGCGAGCCTCCGGGAACCCGGATTCTGCTCCACCAGGTAGGCGTCTATGAGTGCCAGGCTGGTCACGATGAGGACTGCCGTCAGGCACACGTGGGGCTTGTTTGGTTGCGGGGTAACCATCTCTATTTGAAGCCAGCAGAGAGTCAACGGTCCAAACGCTTACGCCAGTATTTCTGCGAGAGAGTCGGCTACGATCCGAGTCATGACAGCGTCTTTATGGAAGGGTGCAGGTGAGGTTCTGCTTGGGCGTAACTTTCAATCGGAAACAGCCCTCAGTTCAAACTCTGCAGTCCAGTTACAGAAAGAGGACGCTTGGACATCAGCGTTCATCCCTTATTTTCCAGATCTTTATGCCACAGCTTACGTTGCCTGAGATATTTAAGATATTTCACTAAATTCCTCACTTTAAAGCTTGGATGAAGGTTGTGTTCATGTTTTCCTTTGGTCCACGTCCAGCAGCAGTTTCGAACTACCATCCAAACCGAGGTGAAACAAACTGAAGGTTAGCATCAGTGCTCCTGCTGTCTCTCTCTGAGACGACAGTGTGTAAATCTTTGGATTGTTGTGGGAGCAGAATCAGCACATCCACCTCTGGGCTTCCTGTTAAAGCTTGGTTAAATTTAAAAGTCTGTGATCTCCACACAAGCTGCAACTTTAGAGACTTCAGAGTTTCTCTTAGTGTTTCTGAGGAGGAGATGAAAGCTGCTCGTCTCCCCTGCGGCTCCTCGTAACTCAAAGTTTGTGCTGTAAAGTTTTGCAGAAAAAGCTTTTTGTTTTTTGACACGTTTTAAAGAAAGCTTCTTCAAAAATCAAAACACTGAAACAATCAGGACGAGTGAGCGGGCTCATTATTGCCTCCACGGCTGAAATCCATCGCCACGGCGCCGATCATCAAGCCGGACCGTCGTCGCTCCCTTCTGAGCGTGCAGAGTCTTCCTCGCGTTTTCTATCTGCAGGCTCTGCTTTCAGCACGAGTTTCCCAACATCTGTGAGGGAGGGAGGGAACGAGCCTGCTCGACTCTACGTTTTTTTCTTCACCCTCAGCAGCATGTCCTTGTTTCTGCACACACACACCAAACTGTTTACACCACCGAGCTGCGCTCTCAGGGAGGAACGCTGTTTTCCATAAACATTTGAAGGGCTTCTGGAACAGGAAGTCTCTTCAAATCACATTTGTTCATTCTTCATCAACATGTTTTACAGCGAACAAAGTGAAACGCTGCGTCCAGGTCTCTAATCTAGCTGAAACTGTGCTGTAGTCACAGCGAACTGTGAATCTGAGCGCCGCGTGACCACCCACACAAAACCTCCACATCAGCTCATAGAGGAGTAGAAGAAGTTCAAACTGGAAGCAAAGAAACGGCAAATTTTCTCCAAAAATCTCACCTTTTCAGGCTGCTGCAGCTCCTCCCTGCGTACAGTCTGAGACTCTCTGCACCCACTCATCAATGAACAGGTGGTAAAAACCAATCAAACTAATCATATGCTCGTATTTTCAGCCACCGCGGATGCAGCATCTGTGCAAGGGTGGCTGAAATGGCTGAAACGATGCTAAAGCGCGACATGACTTTTGCGTGCGGTAGTATCCTGGTGCAGGTGTGTGGTTCTCTTCTGAAAATACTGGGCGTAAAGCAGCGTCTCAGACCTCAGTCTGTGATCCCTGTGGAGAGTCACTGGAAAATGAGGTGAGCCTCAGGTCTGAAAGGAGTTTCCTTTGGGCCCAACGTAGGAGGCAGGAAGCTCACAGACAGCTTCCAGGAGAGGTTTTGAGTCCAAACATTAGGGAACTCTCAGGGAACATCGGGGAAGAGCTGGCTTTGTACGATCACTTCTTTTCTCTGCTTTTAAGCTCTGCTGAAACAAAGTTGGTCAAAACAGAGGAAGCATCGTCTCAATGGCCTCTGACGTCTTCCCCATCCTCCCAGTGTGGGCTACAAACGCACTGATGGGCCACAGGAAGCCTTCCTCTCACACAGAATGAACTGTGTTCCTGTTCTTCTGCTGGTCACAGGAGTTTACCTGGAGTCTGATGGACACACGAGGACAAAGTTTGGTGCTGTTGACACTGCTCTCTGTGTTTGTGTTCAAAGCAGTGATCACAGGCTGCGCTTCGTGAGCTTCAGGTGTTTGTTGATCATCAGTTCAGTCTTTTTTTGGAAGCTCTGATCTTAATGACCTAACTTTTATCTGGGCTAAGCTTTTTATGGGAAGACCACATTAAAAAGTCATGAGAAAATGCTCTGGAGCTGCATGAGGATGAATTACATTAGCCCAGTTACTGCCTCATACGGCTGACTCCCGCTCAGCGCCGCGTTCAAGGACGGATCTGACATTCTTTCAAGCTCGCTACTGCTGCGACAGGGCCAGCGGTGACATGAGGGGACGCCTGGCTCCACATCAGAGGTGCAGATTTCTCATTTAGTGGGTCACGAGTGAAACCAGCTGGTGGCTTTGCAGCACATTAGGATAAAAATCCTAACGAGGCATTAGAGCTGAAAGAAACTAAAGTATGAACTTAAAGTGGAGCATGAGCTCACTCAGGTGGCTGACCCATCACAGCAGAGTGCGGCGAGAGGCTGTTAACAGCAACTGCATCTCTGCAGTGCATCCAGCGTCAGAAACATGTAAATGGATCAAAACAAAAGGAAACGCACGTGAGCAGGAAAACCGTCACACCACAATCGTCTGCTGAGGTGAGCGTTAGCGCCTTATCTCATGTCATCGGCGTAAATGCAAGCAGCTGAGCTCTCTGTGGAAGGAAAGCGTCTCGCTAAGACCGCAGGCCGACGGCCTCGGCTCTGCCTGCAGCTCCATTTTTCCCTGATGCAGGAACTCTGCACTCCTACGCTCACTTCAAAGCCAGCTGGAGGGAACACAGGAGCCATTAGCATAGATTAGCATATACCTACAGACGAACCCCATCCAGCAGCAGCTGTAAACTCTCCATCCCGGGATGAGAAGCTCTCAGGAAACAGATTTTCCTTCTGATCCTTCCTGGAGCCAAGCGCATTTTCATTAAGCAGTTCGGCGCTGCCAGCATTTCAGAAATCTTTGTGTTAGCGCGTCTGATGAAGCTCGTCCGTCTGTGTTTCCAGTTTGGGGTGAGGTTTGTTAGGAGCGGCCGGGAAAGGAGGAACAGCGTCGATGGGAAGTTTTGTGGATGAACACTGAGCATCAACAGGAGCAGCATGAAGGGAGACATAAAGCACGAAGCAGCCGTCCTCCATACGACCTCTGACCTCTCTCATGTTTTCCTTCGAACACCTGAAACCTCAAAGCTCACAGACATGAAGTCCATGTAGCTGTGCTCACATTTAAGCTGCTCAGCATCGAGCCGCTCTGGCGCCATTTCCAGCGATAACTTTCCAGAGCTGTGATGTTGTGTTTGTTCAGTTTCTGCTGCCTTGATTGCAAAGCCCTAATAAAAAAGGCATTTTTACTGTCACACTGTTACCTGCTTAAAAGAGGGAAATATAAAATAGCAGCTTCCAACCTGTGGCAGGAACACTCTTATTCAGAGTTCATTGTCCAACAGCTCAGACATGGACAATCATTTGTTGGTATAACACTGTTCCTGAAAATAAAAGGGAGCCGAGGTCCTACTGCACAGTCTTTTATATTCTGTGTCACTGATTCCTGTAGAGAAACTATGTGTTTACTAGCTGCTTGTTGGTTATGGTATCACACTGCATTATTGAAAAATGTCACATTTAAATGTCATTACTTCTCCCACAGCAGCAGAAGGTTAACAGCAGTTTCAGAGTCTGTCCACTCTGAGCTGACCCATAGGAAACACCGCCGGCTAACTCTGAGGGTCATTGTGGATGATTCAGCTTCACAGCCAGACACCAGTGAAAACGAAGCAGGATGTGCAGTGCTCGCAGGACATCTCAGCACGGGGGATGTAGCTCGGGTGGTGGAGCCGGTCACCTACTAACCAAATATCCTTGGGCGAGATTCTAACCCCACGTCTGATGGATCTATTGCAGTGTCGGTGCATAAATACAAAGTGTTTGTGTGAGTGAGGTAGAGTGCTCAGATGCTGAGCATGAAAAGCAAGCAGCTGAAACCACATGGTGTGAAAATGGGCGTCGCTCACAAGTGTCGGGTGAGCTCATTGTGAAACCTGGCCCCACCCTATCATGTGACTTCCTGAGGTCAGATGGCCCAGGGTGTGTGTGGGCGTTAAGGCGTCTGGGAAGGATCTCAGAGCTTGATTATAGATGGCAGACAGTTGATGTCATAAGCCCCGCCCTCTGTTCAAAGATGGATGTTCACAAAAGTTGATTCTGTTCATCTGGACGTTTTCAGTGGGAGAAACATTTTGTCATCATCCAGGTGACTCCTTCAGTCTCAGCTAGGGATGGGTACCGGTATCTGGTGCCAAGAACGGTAGTAACCAGACCGAAACGCAGCGCACATTTCGGTGCTTTTTTTTCCTGAGATGTCATACACTTTGGATTCTAGCCAATCATTTTACGTTTCCGAGAATAGTAGGCGGGGCCAGGTACGTACGTTCTTTTAGAGCAGAGCTACAGATTAAAAATGTCCAAGGTGAAGCGGTCAAAGTCTGGCTGTACTTCACAGCAAAATATGCAAACTCAGCAGCAACAAGTGCTTTAAGCTGATACTGTGATACTGTCAAAGGAGGTAACACCAAGAATCCGATGAAACACCTGGCGACGCATAGCGTTTTTTTTAAAAGCCGAGAAATGCCTCGTATTTGATAGCTTGCTGCGAGACCTCACACCGAGCACATCTACTGCGGGTGTGGTGCCTGTTATCGGACCCGGAGTTAGCAACATCCCCAAAAACACGAAGAATAGAGTCCTGGCCCCTAGCCCTGCCAGTGAAGCAGAAATGATGAGGATGATGATGCAGCAGCAGCCGTTCTTCTCTGCGTGAGTAGTTTAATGTTGTTCGTGTGTAATTTACATTGAGTAGGCTAACCACGTTATTACATTAATGCAGGTAAGGTGAACTAGCAAACATCATCATAGCTACATGCGGCTGTCTTCTTGTTTGATGGCAGATGCTCCCTTCACCCTGGCCAAAAAGGCTAAAATGACCAAAGAAAAAGTGGAAAACAGCTGAACATGGCCGAGGATGTGAGTGGGTGTTAAGGCGTCTGGGAAGGATCTCAAAACTGGATTATAGATGGCAGACATTTGGTGTCCTCTCTGTCCAAAATGTGAACACTGGCATCCTTGAAAGAGTGACCTTTGACCTTAGATGCCAATGGACAGCCGAGTCTTGTCCTGTGGAGGTGGCTCTTCTATGTTATGTGTTTATGAAGTGGCTGTTTGGTGTCTCCTATGTAGAGGCCTGAGCTCCCCTCGCTGTTTTTGAGTCACTGAGCGTTTGTTCACAAGGACATGCACGATGAGCCTCTATGTGATAGAGACACTGTGGGGAGTGTCATCTGTCCCTGATCATGTGTGTGCTCACACAGACTCACTCTGTGTTTGTCTGATTGTCCCTCAGACAAACAGGTTTCGTCAGGGACCGAGCGACAGCACACACAGTGAGGAAATCACTGCTGTGCTGTGACTGTGAACTCTGAGCTGAATCTGCCCATGACCTACACTAACACATTAATGTACACTACAGTAAAAGTAACAAAACACTGTGTGGATAGATGCAGCATACACACATCACACAGATGATCTGTGTGATGTGTGGTGGCTGTGTGGACACACATGGCTGCTTTACTTTACTGTGATGACACTAGCATCAAAGTTAGGTCAGAGTTTGAGGTTTTAATTTATCCCCAGGTTCAGTCGCAGGCTCTGTCCCCTCATTGCAGAGTTAAGCGACATCTTTGACTCTAACGTGTCTGCGAGTCACATCATAGGTGCGAGTGGACGGGTCACTGATAAAGCACACAATCAAATTCACATGGAGCCTCTTCTTTCTCTGAAC